AATAGGCCCTGCCATGCTGCTTGCAAGGCAGGCTATCAAAATAGCTAATCCTTGTACTGAAAACGAAAGGATTCGTTCAGATTTCATTAAATTTTCTTTCGATCAAATAGGATTTTGTTACGATGACGTAACTTTAATTAATTACATTTAATATGATCTCGGACGAGCTAACATTATTTTATCGTAGAGATAATAGATAGGAAAATTAGAGAGAGACTATTAATAAAGCGTATAATGTTTCAGGGAAGAGCAAACATATCACCGCGGAAAGAATGTAATGAAAAGAGAAGAAACAAATGGCAGATAAGACGTAATCGAGTGTTATATGAAAATAAGGTCAAGATCGTTCGAGCTTCGAAAGGAATTATTTCTTCATTTTTTCCGTAAGATCGCATTAAAAATGATAGTTAGCGAGGATGATTAAATGAAAAGATAAATAAATGAAAGATGATTATACATTTAGAAACAATATGTTATTTATTTCGTTATCGCGTCGACAAAAAATTCGATAAAAATCGATAAAAATTGACGAAATATACCTTACAAATGCATAATTGTGAGTTATATAGGCAAAATTGAATAAGCCTTACGTCGTGTTAAAACGATCTAATCGGGGAAAAAAAAGAATGTGCAAAAGGACAATGTACAAAATACCTATATACGTAAGTATTTACGTAGGCTAATTCAATATTTCCTCGAGTCTCATCGGGAAAACCCATCGCGTAGGAGCGAGGAGAGACAAGATGTTTTGACATAATAATAAATAATAAATGCCGTAACGTGTTATCTCCTCTAATAGCTCGAAATAAAGAATATGATGCGCGTAAATTATTCGAATTAAGTATTTAAGTAAAAAATCCGACATTTCTACGCTTCCTTCATATTTCGATCTATGAAATTTGGAATTTTAAACTTTACTTGCTCGAAGAGAAGAAAAATATGACAGAGTAAAAAGGAGAATATTAAAAATATCCTCGATCCATATCAAAATATAATCTATCTCGATCTAGTTGAGAAAAGTCAGTCGATGCACATAGAACGTATTGTGTATTTTTTTTACTTAATCGGAAAGAATTCAGATTCAGTAGAGAAGAAGAAATCGCGATAGAGAATCGACGTTCGCTCTTAGATGCGAATGCTGACGTACTAGTAAGACTCTAAGAGAATCTAGTCTTCGACAAAATCGTCGTACTATTTGTATTATGAAAAAATTTGTATATTGAAAAAGGCGACATTGAGATGTCCTTGAGAAGTGCTCAATGACACGACATTGACGAAGCTTGACTCGCAAGTTATACATACGATCGTAAGTTGTTTTTTGTTTTTGTTTTGTTTTGTTTTGTTTTGTTTGTTTTCTTTTTTTTTTTTTTTCCTTTTAATTCGAAACACGACTCAAAGTCAAAGTTCGAAGCGACATATTCGACTTTACGAGAGATTCATATTTAAATTCATATTTAGAACGTTCCTACTCACGTGCATACATGTTGATCGGTTTCATTGATCGTCCCGCTTCGAATGCCGAACGTTGACTGAAGAAACGAGTATACGGTACGGTTATATAAAAGAGTGTTGTGCCCGAGGATCCGGCAGGAAACTTCCGATGACGGAATCGTCGCCACCGTAGGCGACCGTAGAGTACCGATTTCGAGTACGAATAACAGCCAATGGCGTTGCTCGAACGCAGAAAAATGAGAAGATAAGCGCCCCGGGCATAATATCTTTTGAATCTTCCTATGAAATGTAAATATCAAATCAATGAGAGATTAGATCTTTACTTGCTTTCTTTGAAAATCCCCGAGAATCGATCGATCGATCGATCGATCGTTCGTTCGTTCGCTCGATCGATCGATCGATCAATCAACGCGATTCACAAAACACATTATAAATAATAACATTCCTTTCAAAGAAATTCGTTTAATGATCGAATACTCCTTGATTTTTCTCACATATGACGTTTCTCATTATCCGTGTAATTGATATAAAAATTGTAGAAAACTGAGGTAGATTATCCTGAGGTAGTAGAAGTAACGACGCCGATAATAATATCATAATGACGATATGACGCCAATGGAGGATTACTTCTCTTTCTTCTCGAGAAATCCTCTCATTTTTTTTTTTTTTCATATTCTTTATCGCGTCAAAAGAATTTCAAGTTCGTATTTAAGGAATTTATATCGTATCTGTTCTAATATTATTTTACTACATTTTCTATGTTGTTATTATAATAACGCAAAGATTGGCACAGGTGATATAATTTTACGTTTTACCTCTTTTTTTTTATTTTTTTTGTCAAAAGGATTCTACCTTCGAAATCTTTTTATCGTAAAAATCTATCTTACGAGTTTAGTACAACAGTGTTTAGGCATCAGTGGAAAAAATTGCAAATCGTCGATGCGATTACATATCTCTTTGTAAAGTTAATAAGAATATACGATCGATCTAAAAGAAATTTGAGTGGTCGATAAAATCTTCTTCTTGTCTTTTAATCGTTATTTATCTTTTAATATCTATCGAACGAATCTACAAAAGCATTATCCAATTTGCTGGTTTCAACAAGTTTCACTCGATCGATTCGCGACGATCTTTGACAATGTTAAATTTTTATAAATATAGATTTGGTAGAAGATCCGAAATGATGTGCGATTTTGTTTTTGTCGATAAAAGACGATAATAGATATTGAGAATGAGGAAAAAGAAGGACGTTAAAAAGAGATATTGAGGAAAGGAGTAACGCGCCGGCGATGATAGATATAAGGGAATATAATACGCGGTGTGGTAGTAACAGGAGTGCTGTGGTATAGACAGTTGGAAGGTGCGTACAAACAAAGATAATCGATTAAATGAAATGGATGAGAGCGCACAAAGCCGATAGGAATCTGGCAAGAGATATACGAGCACGCGTGTTGTCCTATGAAAAAATATCGAGGAGAATTCGTCCATGACCTTGAGATTGTCCCCACCCCCCACCCACCCGTGTCGATATCTCGTTACCTCTTGGAAAGAATCACCAACATTTAACGGTGAACCGAACCAACGCCCATAGAATGCTCCCGCGGCCGCGCATGCGCGGTCCTCCATTTGTCGTCCATTGACGACAAATAAAGTAAGCAACTCAATGCTAAGGTAATCGAATTATGACTCTAGTAGAAATTTGCTTATTTATTAGAATTCGAAAGAATGGAATTAATGGAGGAATATTTACCCAGGTTAAAATTTCCCCTTGAATATGTATAAAGTGAGTAACGCACGCACAAACAACATTGAGAGAATAAAAAGTTTTTCCACCGTATCCGTATAAAACTCACAAAGTTCACGCTCTATATGAGACGAGTGGTAAAAGACGACAGGATCTCGATATCGGTTAATGCGATAAATCGATACATCGAGGATGTTGTCACTAGGATGAGCCGATCGAAATTGGACCCATATCCTCAAAAAGCGCCAAATTAAAAAAATCGTTGAGAAAATAGTTAAAGCGTTAATGCCGAGTATTTAGATTCTTATTAAACGTAAAAGTAGTAAATATCTTCTCGAACGATTTATCCTCGGAAGGAACGAATTCGATTAGTCTTACATAGAGTAGTTGTTAATTATATTTCAACTTGTTACTTAAGAAAGAAAAGATAATAAGAGTAATGAATATGAAATAATACGAAATATATTCGCACGAGCATGTGCGTCTCCGCTCCTATGACCTGTACGGCAAAAGTTATTTTTTTCGTAGCGATAAGAAGCAAGACAGTAAATTTCCTATACCGTTCAATATTTTTTAATAAAATACGTAGATTTTTTTGCGTCGGATATTACCACATCTATATCCGCGGATCTAAATCTCGATAAAAAAAAAAAAAAAAAAAAAAAAAAACAAAACAAAAAAAAAGAAAAAAAAAAGAAATGGCGATCAAGTGTTTTTGATGATTTTTCACTCTATCCTTGTCTCGATTTTAAGATTGGCACACACCGATATGATACAATAGAAATCGATGAAATGACGTCATTTTATTAAAGCGCGGTATATAAAGGTTACGATACGATTGATTTTTCGACAATTATTTCAATGACCGCGTATTAAATAACTCACCGAAAAGAATTGCCGTGTCGTCGCCTTAAAAAGGCGTATTAAACGGGTATATATCGCGAACCGAACTGACTGGAATATCGAACGAATGCGTATCATCGACGCATGCTCGTCGATAAGATTACTCGCGTTAGAAGGTATTTTAAGCCAACGGAAATAAGTACCTAAATTTAGTCCAATGATGAGATTGTCCGATGATGAATAATATTTATCCCTGAGTTAGTCCCTCTTATCGTACAAACCTATATAATGCTTTCTTCTTCGGCATTGCGATGGATATAGAAATTAACTGGGGTAAGAGTAACTGGAGTTAAAGAAAAAAAACAATGTTACTTACGATCGGACTTTCGACTCGTATAAACTCGTAGAGACGATCAAAATGAGTTATTATTTCATCGCGTTAATTATCCTTGATCGTTCGGTAATCACTGAAAGGTTAATATTATTTTTAACGAATGATAAGCTACATTACCTGTGAAATAGATAAGTGTGAACGATATATCGTTTACGTTTTCCCCTCTCCTATACCTTCTGATTCCTAGTGAAAAGAGTAGAGACCGAACGAGTACAAATCAGTCAAATTTTACTTGTAAAAAATGATTATTGCTAAAATAAATTATCTCGTTGTTGCGGTAATAATGTAATAACGATTAGGAAGATCCATAGACGTATGATTAGGAAATTCAAAGTGTTCCTATTTTCAAGCCTTTTCGAAATGTCTCGGTGAAAAAGTTGCCCTACGAAATTCTTCTCTGTGATCGCAGCACTTATCATTGGGATAACCCTTTTTACATAGATCACAGCCACAGGTGGGTTCTCGAGGCTCTTCGTGGTAAGGTGGACAAGGAGCGGGCTTTGTTTCGCAACAGCAAGGAGCACAAGGATCCTGTTGTAAGATAAGATTGATTCTTCAAGAAGAAAATTTCTTTTAAAACGTCTAATAAGTAGTAAACGTTTGCTGGAATTTAGATTTTTTTCTAATCGTTAACGCTCATTAACCTGCATTTTAATAAAACAACAGGATGGCTTTTGTGGCGGACACATTTCACTAGGTGCTGTGTAATCCCGTAGCTCTCGATCTAAATCTTTAGATTTTTCTCTGCTCGCTATATCGGTACGAGCGTCGGCACGAGCGTCGGCACGAGCGTCGGTACGAGCGTCGGTACGAGGGTCGGTACGAGCGTCGGCACGAGGGTCGGTACGAGCGTCGGTACGACCATCGGCACGAGCATCGGTACGACCATCGGCACGATCGTCGGCACGAGCATCGGTACGACCATCGGCACGAGCGTCGGCACGAGCGTCGGTACGAGCGTCGGCACGAGCGTCGGCACGAGCGTCGGCACGAGCGTCGGTACGAGCGTCGGCACGAGTGTCGATACGAGCGTCGGTACGAGTGTCGGCTCGTATATCGATTTCTCCTTCGGGAATGGTTAATTGACTTTCGCCCTTTTTTCTTCTCCAAGGACACGCCGATTTAATTTGTTCCGTACTCCATCGAATGCCTCCATTTACTGACAATTGCAAATATACGATTGAGATACGATATATAATATCGCTCGATACATATTTTCTTCTTTACCAGTATAAAATATTCGTTCCAAGATATTCGATCGCGATGGATTGTCATCCATAGTCGTTGACCATGACGCAATGTGGCCCGTCGGAGACCTGCTCTATATTAATCGGTAATAACACATTCTTTTAAAATACTACAAAAAATTTCATTCCATATGCCAACAGCCAAAAATGTAAATGGATGGATGCTCGATATATCGATTACTCATTACGATTCGATTTACTCGGAGATAGATGGATAGATTTTTTTTTTTTTCTCTCCTTGTAAATTCTACTAATTAGGCTGATCGATCGATGAAATAAGTAATATCGTAATGAACACGATTACTTTTCTCACGTCGTATGTCGAAAAATCGATAATATCGAAATATTGGCGTCAACGAAATTGACATTAAAAGTATACAAATAAGAAATACCTGTCGATTGATAAAATTGAAATACATATAGGGAGACATGTAACCTCTGGCGTGTATCGACGCGTACTATCGCGTAAAGCGCGGCGAACCAAAGAACGAATGAGACATATTCCTTCCTCGCAACACCAAGAGATAAATTGGCCGTTCTATGTAACGTATATATTACATGACTTTGTCTCATCTCGCGTTAGTAGCTTTGTGGATTTTGAGGTTAATTAAACCGTACATGTTTATAATAAAATATGACGGATAAAAACGATTACAGTATACAGCTAGATCCGGAAACAAAAATGCATTGTACGTTGCATTTGTTCAAAAATGTAGAAAATACTGGTGAAATAAGAAGAAAAGTTATGTCTGGTGATGTTGCATGTTGCATCTTAAAACCTACATACATAATAGATCCATTTCAGATTGTAATAGCTGCCAATAAAGCGGCTATTAATGAAAGTTGTAATCGGTTAATTACAAAAAACAAATATACGGAGATTCTATTTTATCTTTCAATGAGCAAAAATATATCAAAATCGTTAAGAGACTTTGGAGCAAGCGACAACGACAAGAACATGTTGGTTGTAACGATTCACGAAGGAGAGAAAGAAAATTCTCTCTCAAAAATGATCGTCGATAATGTAAAAGGGGAAAGATTGTCGTTGATGGAGCTAAAAGAATTGACAGATTTGGAAGTTGCAAAGAGATATTATAAAATTGATAAAGAGGAACTAAATGTATCGAGTTGTATAGATTCGATAATATCTAGGATAGCTTGCAAAGACTTTTCGTCGAAATAAAAAATAAGTGAGAACGAGAGAAAAAAATCGTTGGATCGAGAAGAAGTATTAAATGTCATCGAGAATGCGCGTCATAGAGATTTACGAAATGTCAAAAAAATAAAACGCAGAATCCAAAATATTCTATGCTTACCAAACCGAATGAATATTTTATTTTATTCGTTCCAATTAAGGAAGCTAACTAATATAAGAAGAACAGACAATAAAACTAATATATCACCAAACTTGAATCGCAGTTTATACCTTTTAATCGAGCAATTTTCAAGCAAATATTTCGTTTTCTATATCGTGCTCTTGAAAGTGAAACTTTTGCGACGAAGATATGAAATACGATATAGCATAAAACAATCAAAATCCAAGTTGTATCGTATCGCCGATGTCTCGTAGAGATTCTTCATTTCAGAATCTAGAATCCAGCTCTACGAGAGAACATCTTCGTCATCTCTGTAAGAATATAAAGGTTCAATAAATTTTTATATTTTCCTTAAAACATGTCTTTGTGAAATGGACAAGAAAAAAAGCAATATACATGGTACTTTCATTGATTTTATGTACGATGGCTGCGAATGAACGATCATTATTATTAGACGAGGAAAGTAGAGGATAGCGCATGTTTGTTAGTCGGAAATATCTTTTGTTTTTTTATTTTTATTTTTATTATTATTATTATTATTATTATATTTTTTTTTATTCACTCATAAATAAGGCCAAAGATGCGTAGAAAACAATCATAATATCCGCAAGGATACAGGATGAGTCAAATCCTGCGGAATTAAATAATGGATTTAAAGAGAGGACACTTAAAGAGCACGCAATGTTTGTAAAATACGGAAACTTTGTTAGGAATACCTTGGTAGACTGCACATTTCGCATATTGAAAATTCTGCGCTGTTGATAAAAGTGCAATGAGGGCAAGTCCACAATTCTTGATCAGCGGACGAATTTGCAGCAGCAGCTTCTGTGCCAACCGCTACGCTAGTGCTAGCTGCTGTTGCTGTTCCTCCTGCTGTTGCTGCTACTGCTGCTGGTGTTGCTGGCAAGGAAGAAGATGATGATGGTCTGCTGATCATGCCGCTATTAAATGGTAATTGAGTAACTTGCGACGTAGATGCTGCGGTCGCCGATATCAATTGTTCCACCGTGGCCCAATGTTCCGAACGTGCCCATTCCATTGCCATTTGTTTATCTTTATTGCGTACGGCTTCGAGCAATGGTACCATGTGATCCTTAAATTTGACCAAAATTCATTTCTACATTTGACACAGATCGTCCTAGAGATTAATGTTCAAGAAATAACGTGTACCTTCATGGGTAACATATCCATAGTGGTGATAAACAATAGCAAATGAAAATCTGAAATTGCTTCCAAAAATTGGTCCGAGTTAAATTGTTGCATATAGGCGCACAACGAACGAAATTCTTGAACTTGTCCATCGATTAATCTGTAATCCAATGTTCATACATACGTTATTATATTTTTTCTCAAGTGAGATATTATCGGAAATTACCTGTTTTCGATAAGGAAAGGAGTAATGTCATCGTTCGCGTAAAAAGTAAATTGAGGAGTGAGAGGCGTGGATGCGGGTACGTCCACTAATAAATATTCCACGGGAAGAGGTCTCGCTAGCCTCGGTACTTCGTTACCATAGCTGTCTTTCTCCTAAAAAGAAAATCAGAAGGTAAAATGAATATCAGAAGAGATGAAGGATTTTATAAAACGAAAGTGAAAGGAGGGCGGGGGTGAGGGCCGCGCGGTCAGGCGGGAAAAAGTTGTAATCGAATCGAATTTTAAGACGAATTCAACGACGTTGAATAGACGAACATGAGAAAGAAGGATCGAGAAAGGAAAATGAGAAAAAGATTCGAAGAAGGGCCGATGGTGTCGCCCCAATGCGAGGAATCGTCCAAGTGACGTACGCGAAATATCACTGTCCGATTGGTTAATAGCAAGAGAAAGGAGAAAGAGAAAGGAAGATGGAAGGATCGAGACAGAGAGAACGAGGGTGAGAAAAGGAGAGAGAGAAAGAGCAACAGCGTAAGCGGAGGAGTGCGCGGCTGTGGTGCGTGTGTCGGTCGGTCGGTCGGTCGTCGCCGCTATGCTAGTGGTTAGTTTAGTGAACCAAACATCATGATGTGGCAAAACGTTCTCACGAGCTAAAAGCTGGAGCAACGCCGCGTTAACCGGCGCGCCGTCGTTATGTTATCCACAATAACTCACGAGGTTCGATAAAAAGCGTAAACATTGTTAAACGCGAAAAGTACAAACAAACAAACACAAGCAAACAAAAAAAAATCCCTGCGACTAGAGTTCCACGGCAAGGAAGACGACGACGACCACGGCGACGACGACGACGACGACGGCGACGGCGACGGCGACGGCGACGACGACGACGACGACGACGACGACGACGAGAACGACGACGACGACGACAAGGATAAAGACGACGACAAGGAAAACAACGTACGGTCACCGGTATAACGACGACGACGACGGCGACGACGACGACGACGACGACGACGACGACGACGACGACGACGACGACGACGAAGACAACCGCGACGACAACAGTGGCAGCGACGACGACGACTCATTCGTGCTTCTATCTTCGCAAGTGGGATTCCGCACTATGTCAGTCCCGATGTAAATTAAAGTTGTATCGTATGTGTCGGAGTGAGAGAATTACGCAAAGAAGATATAACCACCCTTACAACGATATATATCTTGGAAGTGACGAGTGTCAACGATCAGCCTCCATCGCGCGGTAAGGAGACGATCACGAGCGTATACACGGTACGAAGCATTTAGATGATTCTGAATAGAAGACGCTCTTATAAGAGAAAGAGTCTATCTCCTCTTTCTTTTTCTATGCATATTGCGTATAATGAGAATAAGAGAGGCGAAGAGAGACGGGAAGAGCGAGCATGTATGAACATATACGTCTCTACGTAAGCGGGAAGGCAATATGGCGCGCGGGCGCGCGTAAAATAGCGACGGGAGGGGGAAGAGAGGAGGGAGAGGCGAGACGAAGCGCGCGTAAGCGACACGACGGAGGAGAGAAGAGGAGGCGCGTTCCCGCGGATTCCCTCGCTGCGCTGACACGTAGTAACTACTTTGTGAATTTCTTTGTCGTTTAAGAGACAGAACGTGCCGACCGATAAGTTGCGGGAATTCGCCCATCGTCCGATTCGCGATCGTCTATCGGCTTGTCTCTCTCACTCTCTCTCTGATTTCATTTCTACTCATGCGATATGCCTGCCTGCCTGCCTGCCTACGTATACGACGAGGTATTAGAGTAGCAGAAAAAAAGTGCGGTACTCGATACGTTCTTCCCTTATCGGATCTCTCCTCTTCGCCCCTTCTTCTCGCGTTAGGCATCGTCGCGTTAAACGAATGGCGAGTACCAAGTGACTTGGGCGATTCGAATCCTACTTGTTTTTCCCCCTCCAAATCCTATTCCTTTCTCTCTTTCATGTTACTCTACACACATAAGTGCGCGCGCGCGCCAACACTACTCTCTCTCTCGCTCGCTCGCTCGCTCGCTCGCTCGCTCGCTGATACTCTCTTCTGGGATAGCACTGTGTAGCTTTTGGCGCGATTTCACGCGCACGCGCTTTCCACGCGTGTAAAAAATGTCATTTTTCGATCGTTTGTGCCGATTTGCTTTCGTAACGAATGACTTCGTCGACGAATAGACTGTTCCGTGATAGACGATGAGTTCTTCTTCGAACCTTCGAACAGGATATATAATTTAGTTTGTACGTCGAACGTGAAACTGGGATTCGTCGATGATAATTCGAAAAAATTCTTTATACGTTTTCCTTTCTCGATATAGATCTTCGCAGAAAGAGAGCAGTTCTTCGTTTTGCCGCGGCCGCCGACATGTGTTTACGAGAGCGATGCACGTGGTCGCACGCCGTCGTTCTCTTCTATCGTTCGTTTGAGAAAATATATAAATCGGAATAGTCTTAAATTAATTATAATAAAATAATAAAAGTGTTCGCGTAAAACTGTTCCGAGACGTTCTAAAGAATATGATCGTCCTCGCCGGAAGGGACACATATAAAACGACTCGAAACGCTCTTTGGATGCCAAGTTTGAACGAACAAAGAATGGTGATGCGCTACTTTTTTCTTACTCGTACAAAAAAAAAAAAAAAAAAAAAAAAAAAAAAAAAAAAAAAAAAAGTAAATAAAAGTGAAACTCGGTGATTTATTTTCGTGCAAAATAGTACATATAAGAATAAAGTGAAATATACTGTAACACTGCATAAAAAGTATTTCATCAAAAAGAGCCATTTTTTTTTTTTCTTGGTACTCTAAGTCTATTAAGTTTCTTATTTCACATTAAACTAATTAAAAGAAGAAAGAAATAAGAATGATCATCTTTGGAGCAGATATCGATCGTATAAATATAACGTGTACATAATAGAGTTAGTAATTTTTAAAAAATAGCAGATAAACACACTACATTTTATATAAAGAGAGAGAGAGAGAGAGAGAGTGATTTTATCGTTGAATAACCATCGCTGTCCTTTCTGTGATGTTGTTTATACTACATCTCTCTATCTAAAGAATGAAACCTGTGACAAGACTTTTCATTTTTGTTAATAGACATTTTCTATGCACTGAAATTATTTCAAGTCACTTTGGACTCCATCGAAAGGAAAAATGTCATACCTTTGCTTTGCGATACAAAATCTGATTGATCCAAGTAAAAGAAAAGAAAGCAAATAAGTTTGTTTGATATATGTATATATATATATATATCTTCATTTTCATCGACCAATAGTCGACATTTTTTCCTTTCGATAAGAAAAATTTCTCTAAACAGCCCCTTGTCGTTTCCTTCTATATGATTGCATTAAAATAATGGAATGTCGTTGTACTTTCAGATGTTGGATCCAAGCGTATTGACTGATTTGGAGGAGCTGACGCTTTGCAATTATTGCAAGCAGAAGTACAATGATGCCGAGCAATGTCCAAAATACCTTAGCTGCAAACACTATTTCTGTTTGCGTTGCATAGAAAACAATTTGTTAAAGGGACGCGATCTATTCTGTGCGCACTGTTGGAAGAGGACCGATCTCGGTGATCAAGGACCTGATGCTTTGCCGACTCATTCTCCGCTCCTTGCCCTAGCCAACAACTTGTCACATTTAAAGATCACGTCGAACAACACGTCCAATAAATGTGTCGACAAAGAGAGAAAGGTACAATAAAGCGCGTAAAGCAAAGATATATTGCGTCTATCGAAAAGAGTCCTCTTTAGATTTAGAAATCTATCGCTGTATTTGGTTTTAGATTATGGGCCCGCTTGCCTTCATTAACATTATTCTTAGATGCTTAAAAACAAAATTCTTGGGCACATATGTGCATTATAAAGAGAGAGAAAGAGGGAAAGGGAGGGAAGAGTAACGCGCAAGTTACACGAAGCCATATCGAGAAAAAGATTCTCGTGGTAATAGGATCACATTATACGACGTTACTTTTTCCTTTGCGTGGTGGCGCCGCACTTTGTCCCTTTGCTACGTTTTCACGCTGTTTTTCATTTTTCGACTATTGACCTTTTTCTCCCATTTCTTTCTCTTTTTTTGTTTTTGTTTTTTTTTTTTTCTTTCTTTTTTTCTCCACAGCCTTCTTTTACTAAAACTTTATTCGATCGTCAAAGAAGCAAATGTACTTATAAGATTAATTTCTTTGCAGAGTGAAAATTGTCACACTCATGGAATGCCTTTGGCTCTTTGGTGCGCAACATGCTGTACGGCACTTTGCAGAGCGTGTGCAACGCCTCAAGAACATCCGGGACATCAGATTAAGTCGCAAACCGATGCCAAAGAACAACTTATATCCGATGTAAGTAGTAGCCTCTCCCACCAACCTCTTTCTTCCCTCCCTCTCTGGTAGAAAATAATGATGTACGTAAGGTGGTATCATCGTGCATTGTGCACCTTAATTTCGAATAACAGAGACTTGGCAAAAGGTCTTTCAACAACGACAACTTGTTGTCGATAGGTCCAATTGGAACTAGTCGCCATGGGGAAGCTGTCGAACGAGATACAAAGACTGGCAATGCAGCAACGAGAATTCTTAATAAAAGTATTAGAGGCATGCGTGACGCTGAAGACACACGTGGAAACGGATCTACAAAATGGCTGGAGTCATTTTCCAGAAATTACGGATGCTCGTGAAACTTTAGGAAAAGCAAAGGCCAGTTTGTCGATGATCGATAGCCCTAGCGACGTTTATAGCTTGCACTCACAATTGATCGTCGAGAAGCAAAGGTTGCAATCCAAGTACCAAGAGATGATGTTGCAATGTCAATTGGACGATCTGATAGGAAATTCCGGAGTCGTTTTCGACTTTGCTCTTTTGAAACAAGCGTTGGCGGGTATACATACGGGAGAATCGATCGTATCTCAAACGTCGGGCAATGGCGGTAGATTGGCCAATCATCTAACGGCTTCGCAAAATCCTATACTATTCCTCGCGAATTATTGTATGTCGCAGTTATACTCGAGACATCTCGTTAGCAAGCAACACATGCAAAATGGCTCGATCGAATATCATTCGGGTATGATGGGCCCGCAACAAGCTCCACCTGTTCACGTTCATCAAGGTCCACCACAGGCGTCTCAAAACAATCCTCAGCAACAGCAGCAGTCGCAATCGCAACAGCAACTTCTTATCCCACCCGGTTCGCCGTCCGTAAAGCCCGTTCCACCTGCACCACCTAACGCCATGTTGCATCCGCAACAACAGTCGACGTTTATGCCAGAAGCAGTAGGCGCTAGCGGGGCAAGTTTGGTAGCCGTCCACTCGTCCCCTCAACAACCACCGTCCACAGGGATGGCGGCGTCTCTTCGTGGCCCATCCAATCCCTATCCGCTTTATTACTTCAACATAGAAGTCAATGGATCTCCTCACGGCCGTATCGTTATCGAGGTGAGACCTGACGTCGCGCCAAAGATGGCGAAGAATTTTAGCGTATTAGCAACCGGTGAGGTTGGAGTCGGTTACAAGGGATGTACGATATTTCAATGCTGGGAAGGGGAGTCGGTGATAACGGGAGACTTTGAACTTAACAATGGTCGAGGAGGCAGGAGCATATTCGAAGATGGGTACTTTATGCCAGACGACACAAAGTTTCCAGCGGTCAGAGGAACCGTGGGAATGAGAAGAACGCAGAAACGTCATGATAATCTCGGCATGGTTGGCTCTCAGTTTCGTATCATCCTACAAGAAATGCGAGGATTCACGGGAATTTTTGGCCACGTCGTGGAAGGGCTCGATCTAGTTGAAAAGATATCAACGTTTGGTGATCAGACTGGCAAGCCTACTAAGAATATTCTAATTACGAACTGTGGTAAATTGTAACGGCTTCTCCATTACGTTTGGTACCGAATGGTAACGAATACCTAATCATACCTTACGTTTTTTCCCGTTCTAGGTAAACTAAAGGAAGTGTCGCGACGGTGTCACCGAGAGAAAATCAAAAAAAAAAAAAAAAAGAAAAAAAAAAAGAAAAAAAAAAAGAAACGGGCTTCTTATGCATATTCCTTTTTTTTTTTCTCACCTTTTTTCCCCCCCTAGGTGCGATATAGGGAAGTCTTATGGACGATAATATGTATGGAGAATTATGCGCGTAATGTCTAACGAAAAGATATTATTAAATCTCCATATGTAAATTCTCATTGGAAGACACCGTCGCGACATACAGTTCCAAATAAATCGCGATGCTCCGTATGAAATCACACAACTTAATTAACTATTTACAATAGAATCTAAAGATGTTGAATCTATTTTTAAACGTGGACGCGTTAGAGAAAATGATGCTGCTACTACTACTACTATTACTAATAATAATGGTGATGATGACGACAACGACGGGGACGACGACGACGACGACGACGACGACGACGACGACGACGACGACGACGACGACGACGACGACGACGACGACGACGAAGATGGCGAAGATGATGACGATGACGATGACGACGACGACGACGACAATTATGACGATGATGATAAAGATGAAAGAGAGAAGAAAAAAAGAAATAAATACCCATATTTTGCTATTGATCGGGAATCACGAAGATTCTATGTCTACAATAACGACGATGATCGACACATACGTACCTCAGATCGATCGTGATATCGATACGACTTCTAGCTGTACGGTATTTGTTTTAGAAGAGGTTCGACGTTTATTTTTGGCTATCGGCGTATTGCTACGTATAGTTTATAGAGCGTATCGCGCGCTGCGAAGTTAAAAGTCACGTATTATGTCAGGAAGAAAGAGAAAGGTGACAGCAAAACTTCGGTGTGCGCTTCTAATGTCTTAGGTCGTAGATAGTATAAATCGTGTAAACGGGAAATAACTAAGAAATCTTTTTTTTTCTTTTTTTTTTCTTTTTTTTTTTTTTTTTTTTCGTTTTGTTTGTTTTCTTAAGACAAACGTGCTTACGTGTGTATCTTTTGCGTACGCACGTAAACACGTAAATCAAAAGAAAGCACATAAAGGTCGGGGATTAAAATAAGGGTCGAAAGACGCGCTTGACTTCGAATTATCCGGTAACTGTGATTCCGTACGCAGGATCGTTTTAGAAGTTTAACAAAAACTATCGAACGATACGTAGGCAAGTTAAGAAGACAATTCCGTTTCGTCGTCTTATAAACGATCGCGTATCGTTCCATTCCGGGAGGAAGAGAAAGGAGCCAAAAGGGAAAAAAGAAAAGAATTATTTGGGGATTAGACGTGTACCGAATAGCATAGAAGGAATGATAAAGAAATGTTTTGGGTCCCACCGAGAGAGGCTCCAAGAGATTATTCCCTTTTTGCTCTTTCTGTCGACTAGTAAAGTCGTCGTAAATTAACTGTATTTAAGGTTAGATCTCAACATGCAAATGTATACAAGGCCTAACTACTACTATGTAGACCGTAAGCCTCATCGTCTGATCCAGAAGACAAAACGAGTGGAATTAATGGATACATACGTACAAAAACACACACACACACACACACAGCAGACAGACACAAGTACGTAGATATATACGTACACGCATATATAAGGTCATACACACGTATACATATTAAACGAAATCATTCCTCGATGCTGTATATCGAAGTATTACGATAATGTAATGCGTTATAGTATTCGTCTAAATCCACGTAAAATCCCATCGTTATATATCGTACTATCTCGTGTACAACGCGTGCGAGTGACGCGTTTCTAAAAAAAAAAAAGAAAAAAAAAGAAAAGAAAAAGAAAAAAAGAAAAAGAAAAAAAAAGAACGTGTAAGAACGAAATGTGCATTAAAATGGCAAAGCACATTACTCTCACACGTATGTAGGTACATATATGCACGCCCTCGTCGTCGCGGTTGCCTTTTTTGAAGAGAGCCTCATTCGATGTTGAACTTGAAAGTTTTAACACTTGTTGATTAGCTGAATAATGCGTCGCGTGCGATAGGAACGCATTATCGCGGCGACGAACGAATGTAAGAGAGAATTGCCGTTAGAATAATTACATGAAAGAAGAAAGAAAAAAAAAATAAGAAAAGAAGTTACACGCATACAAAAAAAAACAAACAAACAGCAAGCACGCACGCAGGCACACACACACACACACACACATACATACAAGAAGTACGTACGACGATAAGGAGGGTGCTCGTGCTCTCGAGTAAATTTTTCTCGTTTCGGTGCAAAGAGACAAAGCGAAAGCCGAATAATAGTATAGAGTAATTTTTTTCTCCAGCTGAGAAAAAACATACGTAAACAAAGTTCGTATATATCACCGAAACGAGCGAATGCTACAAGGCCCACCTCTATATACACAAAGTGAAAAAAATATCCCACACGCGCGCGTATATATACTACATATATTTTTATGAACGTGATGAGGTAACAACGCATAGCTTGTAATATCGATCTTAAATGACCGACATTGGTTTACCCTCGCCCCTCGCGTTCGAATTAAAAACGATTGAGCGGCTATAACTCTTATTAAGTTTTTCCTTGCGAATCTTCAAATTCCTTTTTCCTACCTCTGTATCTCGTGTCCTCTATCTATCTTTCTTTACAACGACTTTCTTTTTGTTCCTTATCTGTTAGTCTGTCTGTCTTCTATCTATCTATCTATCTATCTATCTATCTATCTATCTATCTATCTATATATATATCTCTTCTCTTCCCTATCCCTACCGCTCCATTCCCCCCTCTCTTCCCTTCCACCTATTATGTTAAGGCGTAATGAGCATTATAAAAAAAATCGAAATATTTTGTTTATAGTCTACGGTAAGCGTATATCCGTAGGGCTCTCGCTTAAACAATTTTATTATTTCATTATACATGCGTACGAGATGAACGTTCGTTACCCAACTTAAATGTACTTTTAATCGATAAATTTTGAGTTATAAACTGTTTCTCCCTTTCAAAGTTTGTGAGTAATTTTAAATACATTATTCTTTACCTACCTCCACGAAAATACGTATACAAAGATACGATTGTGCGAGCGAAACAAGCCTTTAAGAGTATAATTAATTGTTATAAAGTTAAATAATATAAAGTTACAGACTCACCTTGTAGAAAACATCTGGAACATATTGCTTATCGGTCGATTCGATTACATAACCCAGTTCCGGTGCATCTTTCGTAGGAACCAAACATGCATCGCGTACCAGTGCAGAACATTGATTTGATACTTGATAACCTTCCATGTGAACCTGATTTTTATCATCGCCTGCAAATAGTAAGATGTATTATTTATTATTGATCCGTACACAATGAAATAGTAATTTTTTTCTTTTCTTATTGTAAGCGCAATACGACAATGATACAATATGATATTTTCTGAATTTACCTGTAACGCAAACAGTTACGAACTTAGAACCAAAATAACCACTGGGTGAAAAACGACAAGGATTAAGAAATTGATTTTGGAAGTACCCTGCCATAATACACTCTTGCGCCGATAAGAAATGGCTCTCTATATTTCGGACATGTTTCACCTAAACACATAACGTATTATATATATATATATATATATATATATATATATATATATATATATATATATATATATATATTATAAAGTTTCATTATGACCGGCGATAGTTATGAATCGCTATGATAGGTGTTACGGCTACGTATAATGTTATACCGTTCCTTTCTTCACATCATCGGCTATGAGATCCGTGAATATCCATCCTATTCTCTTCAAATTGAGAGATCGAGCTAATTCATCGACCAATGTCTCTTTCTCGTCTGGCAAAAGTTTTATAGAATCCTTTGTACTTTCCTAAAATATGCCAAAAGTTTATACGATTACATCTTCAAGTGGATTAATATTATTAATAGACGATTTAGTTAATATTTCATTTTATTTCATAATATTATCATACTCACCTGCGGAGGTTCATATATAGCTGCGACAACTGCTCTAATCCCTAATGGTACATCCGTGTGTATCTCATAACGTCCATATAGATATCCAATACGTTGGTGACCAGTACTTCTCCAGTAATTCAAAAAACGTTCGACTAAACTAGCATTCTCAAACATGACATTGTCTATGTGACGGTAAGTTTGACGATTCAAAGTAATAGAACTAGGTTGACACTTGCTACAAATACCCCTAGGCCATGGAGGATGATCTTTGCAACCAGTCTTTACTCGGCAGCATATGTCGTCTAATTGTATAAATTTGCCCCTAGAAAAATAATTGGAAAAAATTGAATTCAATATAATGTTATCTTTTATAATACAGAGTTTTTTACCTATCGACCCCGGCAGTGAGTTTCCTGAGATACGAATGAAAGGATAAATGTTTGATATTTTGTTCCTTCATATAGAGTTCATCGAACGGTTCCAAAGGAGAGCAGTGCACGCAACATCCATTTACACCATGACGACAACTTTACAAGAAATATATTAATGCATATACGTACACAAAAACATATATATATATACATACACACACATTTCTTCTTTCTCCCTACAACAGATATATCATCTCCATTTACTTACAGTTTTTCGTCGCGTTTTCTCTGTATCTTTCCGTCGAGCTTCCACAATTGTTCATCTATGTCGTCTTCCGGCACATTTGGCAGGCTACGAAGCGAACCGATCACATTTGAACTTTGCACAACACGATTTGTATTGTTTCCTGCATCGGTCTGTCCTATTTCATGTTTCAAGCGTTAATATAGATTTCCATAAAGTTAAAGTTATAAGATATATATTACAAACCTCCAAAAGAATTGTGTGAATTATTACTGGCAGATGGAGTATTCCAAAGCTGTGCACCGTTAAATGGTACAAGGTAGAGCATATCGCCGTGCGAAAGACCTATCTCGGACAGTGTTTTGCTGCGAGTACTTATGATTTCATCTTGATGATTTCGTTGCTTGTAGAGCCCAAATGTGAAACTATTCAAGTTGAAAGCGTTAAACACCTGAAAGAATATGACCAAACAAAGGATTCGTTACTCCGATATATACGAGAAGAATAATGAAAGATTAAAAGTCCTGTTAGATAAGTAATACAAACTTTTTCAAAGAGCGTAAAGACGATATCCGATAAATAGACATCCACGCGCTTTGTCCCTTCAGACGACTGCACTCGTAACGTCTAAAAATGATAATGAAACGCACACATATAAACAATCATTTAATACACTTATTACTATTTTGTTAGATAATTTAAAATTCTTTGAAGAAAAATGACAGCATGGACGAATTTCTTCTATGTAAAATTTTTTTTTTAACAAGATATAACAAACGGAATAGAATATTTGGAAATAAAAATATTTCATTGTTGTTAAGTTATACGCGTACGTATATTTAATAAGATAAAATAAACTTTGAAAAGAAAATTTCGGATCGCGCGAGATGACACAAGGTTTTGGAATTTCTTATACGGTACTGTAACAATAATAACCGCGTGGAACGGTCCTCTTTTAATTACCACGTATAGGAAAAAATAAATTATCATTTAGTCAGAAAAATTGGAGATGCGAAAAAGCAATTAACGAGTGACATGCACTTTTTTGAAATCTTAACCATTTTCTTAAGGATCTACTTACGATTTGTCTTGATTTTGACATTTCGCCGGTGTTGAGTGAAACATCAGCTGTTCAATCCGTTGTTCCTCTTGCCTGGGCAAACGCAAAGTCAGAAAATTCCCTAAGAAGACGCGAAAAAATTGTCGAGTCAACGTTCGATACCCTAACCTCTTGGCGCTCGCTTGTTTAACGGTATTAGTCGTATTTCGGTCGAGATTCGAAACGTTTTATCTTTCGAAAGAACGTTACTCTCGATCGGTCCTTCCCAAATAAATTCACCTTCGTTTAAAGAAGAAAAGAATAGTCCCGTGAAGCGCACCGCGTCTAGCAACAAAAGCCCGCGTTTCGACGCACGTCCCCGTCCAAAGAAACCAAAGGAGCACAACGGTCGTCACCAAACGGTTACCGTCCTGCCACTGTCAGCGCTAATCGTACGCAGCAGCCATCACGATGACGGATAGAAAAGAGGTAAGTCCTATGCTTCGCGATTCTTTTATTTTTCTTTTTTTCTTTTTTCCCCTCTTCTTTATTCCTTTATCTTTTCTTCCTCCATACACTTTTACTCGATAGAAAAGCTTTCGAGATTTTTCTATTCTTTATCCGTATTCTCAGGGCGCTACTTCGATTTACATATCTTACTTTTCTTTGCCAGACCAATTCGTAGCTCCGCGCGATAGTATGCAACCCTCGTTACCGATCGGTAGATAGGCTTTCAGACGGAAGGTGCTCTTCGAAACGTTTATCTTTTTATCGCTACTTGTCGCTCCTTCCCTTCGACTTAGGAAGGAGAAATTTAAAGCAACGACGCCTTCTTTATCGCCTTTCTTCTCCCATTTCATTACACGGGTAGTAGTTACACTTCTTTCACATAGAAGTGCTACTACGTAAGTAAAACTACTCGTAATAACATCGATGCGAGATTAATCTTTCAATTGCGCGACATTCTTTCTTCTTATTCGTTCGATCGATCGATCGAAATTCAATCTTGCAACGTTGAATCTTATTACTTACTGCTTAATAGTTGCGTGTATTTTAATTACGAACATTTGAATTTTAAGCGTCGTTCATTCGTAATGAATATGACGGCGAGGTTACATATTTTTCTTCGTCATTTATCAAATCGCACGACTCGGTCAATGGATCACGCGAGTGAAACGATGCATTGACCTAACGTCGATCACTCTTCTCATTCGAGAGAAAAGAAAGCTAAGAAGGATGATGCAACGTGTTCTCCTTTAACTCGGATTAAGCGGCAATGCTCGTCTGTTTCGCAGCTGGTCAAGGCCGCGGTAACGTCGCTTGCCAATCACCAGGTGATCGTACGACCTTTGATCGTAAATAAAGCGGACATTGACACGTTATATCCTTGGATCCAATACATGTGTATATATATATATATATATATATATATATATATATAGCAATCGCTTCCCAACGACACGATGAAAGCTCCAAAAGATACGATGAAAATAGACTATTTTCTATTATACATTATAATCAACGAAATCTGACGTCAATCGTTTTAACCGAAGATGGATCGATCGATCGATCGATCGACCAACGATCGCGTTTGGTCACCGTGACATTGACAGTTTTTAAAGCGGGGCCACATCGTTATAGGTAGGTGAGTAGGTGGGTAGGTAGGTAGGTAGGTAGGTAGGTAGGTAATAGACAGGCGCTGCCTTCGCGCGATGACCCTCTTACCTCTTTACCGTTTCTTCCTGGCAAGAACGACTATCGCGCCGTAACGCCGTACTCGTACGGCCGTGCGAAGAGATTTCAGTTGCGAGGTCAGTTGCATTTGCTAGCACATCAGTAGCCATCTAGCGAGAGCCGGAAATCGTAGGCCCCAACTCGTTCAACTCTCATTATCGTTTATATTTTCCTACACTTTTGTTGACCTTCCTTTTGCCATTTTATCGTTTTGCATCTATACGCGTAAGATTCTGTATAAGGAAAAATCGTTCGTTCGATAATTATATATCTACCCTCGAGGTGGCTTCGAGGGATCGATAGAATCCACCTGTTAACGGATCGCCGATCGATTCGAAAACGGAAAGGTAAGAAGAAGACGACGTGCGTTAAATGCGTTTCTCGGTTTCACCTTCGCGATAGGAACGCATCATCACAGAACGCCCTGTTCTCTATCAAATTCTCTGAAAAAATAATCATTCGTCTCTATGTGCGTGACATTCTTTTTTACTCGACTTTCATCCTTTTTCCCGAAACTCGTTGATCGGTATCGAAAGTTCCTCGAGAGAGAGAGAGAGAGAGACGAACGTTCAAATTGTCAAATCACCGCGCGAATCTCGCAGACATTTTGAATTAATCGAAAGTCAGATGTCCGAAGGGTAACACGGAAGCTAGCTCCGAATATCGGCCGATCGGCACTGATTCATCTTTTTATAGATCTCGAAGAATTCCGTTGACAAAAAGCTATTCATTATCTTTGCCAATGATCAATGAGAAATAGTTAATAGCGAATTTGGATTGTTTAACACAGGTCACCGGCGAAATGGATAACACAGAGGATGTGAGGACAACGGTAGAATTGTATATTTACGATCTGACGAAAGGCATGGCAGCTATGATGTCTCGCATGTTGATAGGTAAGCGTAATCGATGAAGGAACACGATCGGCAACATTTTTTTCTTCGATGTATTTTTGTACTCGCTGTACGGTCGATGTTAGCCGCGGTTCGTGAATCATACGATGGCATCTTTCTTTCGATCCAATGACGATCGCTTCTTGCGTAGGTGTTGTGTCAAGTTGGATACGAAAAAGAGGCGATGTAAATACGATGTTAACAAATATTCTCTTTGTGACGTCAGGGAACGCGTGGAATCCAAATTTAGTTGAATCCAATGCGATGTATCGAATTGGAAACGACTAAATCCTATCTTATTTTGAGAATTCATATCGCTGCAGAGTCAGATGATCTCGACTCGATTATCATTTTCTTTAATCACTTTCGTTCGTTAACTTTTCCTCCCGATAACGATCTAATAATATGCCAAACGATGATTTTCATAATATAGACGATTATTCCGATTGAATCCTATTGTCAATTTTAATTGGAGGCGAAAAGACTTTCTTTTTTCTTTTTGTAAATAAATAAAAAAAAGTTCGAACAAAAAGTAATATAAGTTTTGGAAAGAAATCTTCTCATTAGATATTAGATATTAGACTTGAGGAACCATCGCGTAGAGGTTACTGCGTAGAAATTCACATATAATAGCGAATAATTCAGAAAGTTCGTTTGTATAATTCATCGCCAAAGTATATACGTCTGTGCGATCGGAATAGAGCGGCGAATCTTTACAAAAGCGGCATGCAGTCCTATCTTCTCCACGAGAAATTCAGGCGTCACGTGTCCGAAATTCGTTCGCCATACTACTTACTCGAAGATCTCGCTGATCTATTTTCGATCGCATTCGCCGTAATTATCCGGGAAGATTCTTTAGGATAATCGGAATTGGCATAGATTCCCGTGCACGTACGTTATTTATACGCGCACGTGCGTATCTTAACGATATACCGACATAACGGAATCTACAAGGTTGATAACCGATGATAAGAAACTCATTGATCTTACCAAAGGATCTTTCTCGCTTAAATGCTATTTCGTCTTTTGCCGTCGATTTAGCCAATTTCACATCGGTATCGTTAAATTCACCTACCTCTTTCGTATTTTGCATAAACATACGCACGAGTGTAGTAAACTCGTGCGTTCTTTTGATAAATTTTTTGAACTTAATGTTTGTACAAAACGAATTGCCGATGATTTATGGTTCCGCGTGGGAGTCAAGGCGTTCGTTAAAAAGAAGAAGGAAAAAAGAAAGAAAGAAAAAAAAAAATCGTCACAATCGTGGCAAAAAGGTCGACGTCTAAGAAAAACGAATATTACACCTGACGAATTTCAATTTCCAAATCCAACGAAGACGTACTGTAATAAGAATATCGTGAACGCTAATAGCTATTTCCGCGTTAAGAAAGTAGGTCGAAGGAACGACTATGAAGCTTCGTCTCGAGGCTTCTTCGTGGAGCTTCGTGCACGTGGAGATTCTGATGCATATTTCGCTTTACGAGCGAACACCCCAGTGTACTTTATTTTCGAGACGAGAGCTAAAGCCAACGTCTCGTAGATCATGTCTTCCAACTTTAAGTTGCGTTAGCGCTCGCACTACGAGCAGCCAACTTTGTTGCTTCTCTTATTTTCTTTCGAAAGATACCAATCAAATTCATTGTCTTTGTAAAACAAGTATCAAAGTTGATAAGTTTTGATTTAATCCTTAATGTATTCGCAGGCAGACATTTGGAGGGAATATGGCATACGGGGATCGTTGCCTATGGCAGAGAATACTTCTTTGGTCCCGCTGGTATACAAAGTGTCAGGCCGGTAAGTGTACGAGCAAAGTGCAAAGGAGCTAAAGGCGACCTTTATTAAGATTACTCCCCTTCTACCCTTACAATATTTCGCGTGGTAAATAATTGGCGAGATGCCCTTAATAAATAACTCAACTATAAATAACTTTTGTTATATGGAGAAACGTTTTTTTATCCTTTGTGCATCTTTATGGACGATATTTATTTTTTATTTATTACGCACAATTTTTTCGAAAGCACTTTTTGCACGCTTCTTCTTTTCTTTCTTCTTTTTTCTTTTTTTTTTCTTTTTTTTTTTTTCCTTTTAAGATCGGGTACAGTTTTATTCGAAATTTTAATTTATTTATTACAATATATATTCGTTTTTAATTTTTATTTGAAAATTCTTTTCTCTCATTGAAATTGGTTTCTTCGTCTTTCACGTTCGTGGCTTTTCCTAAGAACGAGACGGAATGGCTCGTCGTTGGCACGTAATGTGACTATCATCGTAGGGCCCGATCGTAGTAACTCGTCACTCTGGCCATATGATACGCTAGAGACGAGCAGGTACTAAATTTGGTCTGGTCTAATCTAAAAATAATTTTCACTTTGCTTCACACACATATACATACACACGCTCTCTCTCTCTCTCTCTCTCTCTCTCTCTCTCTCTTTTTCACGCAAGCACATATACGTGTGCGCGCGCGCGCGCTCGCGTAACTTTCACTCTCACTCTCATAGCTCTTTCCCGTTCTATGTTTTACCGTTCTGACTCAACAGAGGCGAAAGCATCGCCAAGTTCGTTCATCTACGTCCGTACAAACTCGTTCCCACGTTGTGTAAAATTTCATTAGTATCGCGTTTACCGAGTTCCTCAAGTCGTGTATGAACTGCGAGTGCAAACATACGTAAATATACCCATTTTGAAAAAGAAAAATGAAGGATATCAAGAAAGAACGCTAACGAAACAGATCAAATTTCGTGCCTTTGTACGTATTAAGACATCGATAAGATTTCTCTTTCTTTCTTGAAATTCGTTCAATCAATTGTCCAAAGATTTTGGCGCGATTTTTCCAAGGTGTACAATTTTTATCTATAGTGCTTCGAATCTTCGGCAAGGGATGTACATTTCATAAAAGTTCTTTGTGCGTTCGTGATAGATTTCTAAGAAATTATCATATCTTTTCTACGTACCAAAGAGATTTTTATTTACGTGAAAAAAGAACGATACAAAGTATTATCACGTGTTATAATTTATCTTACATTTTTCGTCGCTTTCTTCCGCCTTTTTCTATCCTTTGCTTTTCATGCCACAAATGCTCACGAATCTAACGCGCGCGTTAGCAAATAGTTATTTTGAGCGTTTCACGTAGGGAAGCGTGGATTTGTCGTCGTTCTAAAATTACGTTTGCACTCTCTGGCGTATCTGAGAGCGCGCGCGCGCGCGCGCGAGGGGGAGAGAGAGAGAGAGTAGGAGGGTTGCAAGAAATTCGTGGCGGATGGATCGAGAGACGAGAAGCCAGTTTGAGAAATTGACATTGACGGAACTTGGAACGAGTCGTCTTTCTTTTATCTTGTATATTAAAAAAAAACATTTTCGGATAATTGCAGGGTGGTACGTACTTGCGCGATCCGCAAAAAGTCGAAAAGATCGGTGAAACCTATCTACCTTATTCGGTCTTCCTTGAGTACATAAACGGCCTGGGAACATCCACGTTCGCGTGAGTGTTTGGATTATATCTTGTTGCTTGATGATATTCGTGATAGAATGGTGTCGGTGTAAGAGATTTCAATGAAAAAGAAAGACACGAATCTTTTCAGGCCGGGCACGTACAATCTCTTTAGGCACAACTGCAACACTTTCACGGAAGAAGTGAGCAATTTTCTGGCGGGAAACGGTATTCCCAAATATATACTCGATCTTCCAGAAGAGATATTACAAACGTGAGTCAGATAGGAAAGATTTTTAAACGATACAGCTGGATCGGTTTTATATATTAATAATTACAATAAACGCGATGTGGTCATACACCAAAAAATAGAATATTCTTTTATATATATATATATATATATATATATATATATATATATATATATATATAGAGAGAGAGAGAGAGAGAGAGAGAGAGAGAAAGAGAGAAATTTCTTTTATATTTCTAAAGCGATTGTCTCTCTCTCTCTCTCTCTCGAGTTTGAAAATAAATAAATCGATCGATTCGATCACACTTAGGCCAGTCGGACAAGCGCTAGGACCTTTGATAGAAAGCTTAAGTAGCAACGCAAACGCGGGTTTCACGGTAGGGCAAAGATTCGTAGAAGCGAGAATCGAAAGAGAGGCTTCGCCGGAATATCAACTTTTGAACACGGCAATCGAGGAGGCAAGGTACGCACGCTTTATCTGTCCTTCGATCGTAATCGAATCGAATTAAACTTTAATAATTATTAAATGCTAGATTGAATTCGATCGCGTTAGAGGAAAGGAGAAACGTGATAAACGAAAAGCTCGCTAAGAAGGATAGAAAGAAGAAAAAGAAAAAGAAGGAGAAGAAGGAAAAGGGAAGCAAAGACGGTACAGGAAGCGATAGTAATAGTACAGGGACAAGCTATTACACGGACATGGCAGAAAGCGAGGGTGAGCCTTTCTATCTCTTCTTTTTCTTTCTTTTTCTTTTTTTCTTTTCCTTTTTTTTCTCCTTTTTTTTTCTCCTTTTTTTTTTGCAATCCTATAAAGTTTCCTTTACATAGGACGGTCGAGTGTAGGGTCGAGAGATGATCGATAAGAATAATCGTAGGTGCAGTGAGCGAGATGCAAGCCGCGAATGGTGCCACGATGGAGATGTTGCCGTCCGATAGGGTCTTGCAAATGGAGGAGGAAGAGAAACGGGAAGAGGAAGAGAAGAAACGGCAACGCGATCCTCCTATAGTATTTAAAGACACCGTCGACGTGAAGGCGGAATATGAGGGGTTGGTCAACTGTCTAGAAGGGAAATTGAACGACGATGAGAGAACGTGCTTGAAAGAACTTCGACAGTATGTTCTAGAGAACGAGGGCTCTTGGGCTTTGGGAGATTATTTTTTAAATTTTGTGGGTAAGCTCCTTTCGAACGGTTTTCGATTTCTTAGATCGATAAAAACGATAGAATAAAATCAATCGGAATAAATTGATAAAATATGGACGATTAATAATAAATCCATTTCGTCGTCTATTAAACGTCCAGGACGCATACTTTACGACAAGTCGTTAGTAACCGAGGCAAGGGTGAAACTCCTTGGTGTACTTTCCGTTGCCGCTTTGAAGGACGACGTGATACTTCTCCTGCATCAGGATAGAAGGGAACACATTCTCATGAATTATGCCTTCGATATAGATCGTCATCCTCCAGAAGAGCAATTACCGCTCGCCGAATTTGTAAGCGCGTAGAGTCGTCGTATCGTTCTCGTATTGTTCTCAATACTTTTTACTTGAAAAAAAGTTGATAATGATAATAATTTGAAACGAATTTGTACGTCCTAGTTGGCGAACATGTTCGAGAATTTGAGCAGTTCCGAGTGGTTACTTTACATATCCGAATGGCAACATCAGAACCAGAATATCAGCAACATAAGGGTGACGACGAAGGTGGCAGTCCACTCCTTGCTATCCAATTCGTTCGAGTTGCAAACCCGTGGTGCGGCCATCATCCATAACTTAGCCTGCAAGGAGGTAAAAACTGTGGTCTGTATCTTTCCTGTTCGATTAACCATCGTCCAAAAAGACGATGCTTTATGCTCGTGAAATTTTTCCCGATTTCTTTGAAAGAAGTTACCTAGGTATACATCATCGATTTAACCAACATAATTTTTATCGTTCGATCATTCAATATTTAATCGTTGGATTAAGGATGATTAACGATCGATTCTTTATCGAAAGAACACAGCTAAATATACCAGTTACTAATAAATGGCAATCGGTAGACGAACAGGCGCCAAAGCTACGTCTCGCCGTGCTTCTTTCGGTGATTTAATGCTAATCGCTAAATAAACGCTTCTTCGTGTATCGAGAAAGGAAAAAAAAAGCAAAATAAAACGTTTGCGCTATCGAATCGAAGAAAGTGCCGCCTCCGTTTAATGGCTTGCACCTACATACCTGCCTATATATATGTGTATATATATATGTCTATATATATATATATATATATATATGTGTGTGTGTATATCTGTACGAGGTTCCTTTTCGTTAGGTCAAATACATCGAAATATATCTAACAAATCCGCATATTGTATAAACATTGTACACGCCGCATATTGTGCTTCGTAATACGGTATAACACTTCGGGAGTAGTTCGTTCGTAATATCTAGCTCTGTTGCTGCAAAACAGTTCAGTTGATGGATACCTTCCCAGAGATCGGCTACTATTTTTTCAGAAAATGAACAAAAGCAAAAATCTACGGAGACTTTTACCAAAAGGCAGCATTTCTAAGGTACCTATATAAAATATGTACGTAAAATATGTAACTTGAGTTCAACTCGAGTTCACTGCAGTGAATCGTTTATGATCGAAAAAAAAAAGAAAAGAAAATAAATAAATAAATAAAAGAAAAGAAAAAAGAAATGACAAGGTATCCGAAAGTTTGCACGATGATATTCGAAACGTTCATATACCATATAATCGTCCCTATTAACGACATAACGATCATTTTACGGCGTAACGATCGTAGGTATTCGACGACGTCGCCGTTGAACTGACGATGGCTTTGCTACAATATTTCAATGGGAGTCCAGCCGAGGAACAACTTTACGCGTGCATGAAGTCACTGGCGCGTTTCACGCAAATCAGCGGACAGGATGTACCGCAGCTGATACAGATGATCGGACCAGAGCCAAATAAATTTCGTGGAACTTCCGAGAGAATCGACAAACTGATCGATCAAGTCAATAAGAAGTTACGTTGAGGTATAAATTTCGTTTTGTTCGGGGTCTAAATCTTTATATTCCAAATAGGATGGAGCATACGAGTGTTGTTGACTGACAGCTAAATAATAGGAGGAATTTTTACATAGAGATTTTATTTCAAGCATCTATGTGCTTTTGTAATAATTATCTATTGTTGTTATTATTATTATTATTATTATTATTATTATTATTATTATTATTATTATTATTATTATTATTATTATTATCACTATTATTATTATTATTATCATTACTATTACTATTCTTAATGTTATTGTATAAATTGTTATCTCTATTATCATTGCAAATTATTAATAATATTGCCATTAAATTATTATTAATGTTGGTACGGGTAGTATTGCGATTATTTCGTATGAGATAAATGGCGTTAGTCAAGGTTGCGTCTAACCACATTTCTCTTTTTTCGCTTTCTTATTAAAAATTTATCCGGAATCGTAGGAAAGCCAAGTTGAGAATCGCTACATTATAAAGCTACGATATGAGATGGAGCGTATACGTATGTAAGTTACTAACGTTGGCAGGCACAGTAATCTTTTTATAAGCCTCTAACATCTTATCTTTTCCGTAACGAATAAAACACATACTCGTGTTTTATTCCTACTGACTGAAGCTCGTTGAACGACACAAGAGAAGGTCTTTTGAATTTATTTTCATATTCTCTAATCTTGCCAAATAATTGGCACGATATACAGATTAGATAAATAAGTATATAAGATTTTTAAGTAATACGAAGTACATAGAAATCCACAAAGATATAGCCTTTAATATCAAAAACAATAAAATTATATATGATCGTGTAGAAAATTAAGAATCAAACAAACGTATTTACGTATTTCTTTCGACAAGACGATCACGTGGACGTTGTTTTTTTTCTTCTCTCATCGATCATCCTCAATTATTTCTCAATTATTTTTAATAATCGCGATAAAAATGATCGAATATGAAACGATTGTTTGAAAAAAATAAATAAAGAAATAATCTTCGGTATATGTCTAAATATATGTTTTTCGGTATTTCTTTGGAATTTTAACGGTATATATACACACGTTCTATTTGATCTTCAAAAGTTGCCAATATTCAATTGGACAGATAATTGCCGCGTATCACGATAACCGTCAATTTATATTTTTACCTTAAAACAAATTAATCGATAGAACGATCCGAATCACGATAATAATGTCTCGGTCCAAGGTTTTCTTCCTCATTTTGAAAATATTTATCAATGTGTCAACAGACAAGAGAGTTAAGGAAGAAGAAATACGGATAAAGAGAGTACGTCGGTGCTCGTTAGCGAGGAAAAAAAAAAAAAAAGAAAAAAAGAAAGAAATAATACAATCTGACAGATGGAAGGAGATGGCGTTTACTTACAGCTTTGACGAATAATATTTGATGATAAGTGTTTTGAAGACATGAATGATACCTACTTACAAAATGATATGCAAGCGATTCGTATTTCTGCTCTGGCCAGATAAACACTGTTCCACCATACACGTTCCTCCTTGAACAGAAATCATTCGCAGAATTGCAAGAATCGAATTGTGTCAATTTTGAAATGAGTTAACCATTGTCGCGATATCTCTTTCAGTTTATATATCTACGATAGCGGCAATGTCAGTGCCCAGGAAGGATTCCATTTCAACGGAAGATGCCAGAAGGAAGAGAAAAAAGTGGAACATCAGTGCAAACCCGAGAAAATATTTGTTGGTATTACAATGGCTACCAAAGTACAATCAATTTCAAGCCGTATCCGACGTTATAGCCGGTATTACGATAGGACTCACCATGATACCGCAGAGTATCGCTTACGCTGCACTAGCTGGATTAACTGCTCAGGTATTCCCTGTTTTCTCCCATTCCTGGAAAGAAGAAAGAGAATCTGAACTCAACAATGCTGTTAATTCACAGTACGGGCTTTATTCATCGTTTCTCGGTGGTTTCATATACCTTCTATTTGGGACCACCAAAGAAGTATCAATCGGTCCTACATCTTTGATGTCTCTCTTAACGATGGAATACACGCATGACATGCCGATAGACTTTGTTATACTCCTTACCTTCTTGGCCGGATGCGTAGAGCTAACAATGGGCTTGTTGAATTTAGGCAGGTATCCAAAGTGTACAAACAACATTTCTCAACGTTTCGAAAGATAAGAATCGTTGTAAAAATCAAAATCAAATACGATCCAACTTCTTAATTTAATTTGACATAAATATAAATATGTTCAGGTTTTTTGGTGGACTTCATTTCCATCCCCGTTACGTCGGCATTCACTTCGGCAGCGGCAATTATTATAATCGTTGCCCAGATTCAGGGTCTTTTAGGTTTGAGATACAAATCGTACAACATAGTCGATACCATAAATAAAACGTTTAAAAACATAGATAAGGTACATTTGCCCGACGTAGCACTCAGTTTTTCCTGCATTGTCTTTCTTTTACTCTTCAGGGTAAGTTATCTCACGCGGGGAGATTTTTTTCTCTAACCGAGCTCGTGGACGTTAACGTTCGCACATTAAATCTTCCACGCATTTTCGTAGAAATTGCAAGATTTTGGAAAGTGCAAAACTGGGAACAACGAGATTACGAGGACGAAAAAGATTTTGTGGTTTCTTTCTATTGGTCGCAATGCTCTTGTCGTCTTAATAACGTCTATTATATCATTTAATTTGACATTGCAGGAATCTTCTCCATTTACTCTTTCAGGTTGTCATGCTTTCTCGAAATCTTGTTGGAAAATAAAGCGTTTTGTTTCTTAATTTTTTTTCTTTCTTTCTTTCATTATTCGTTTGACAAATGCGCTCTATAGGAAAGGTTAAACCTGGATTACCCGCTGTGTCTATACCGCCGTTTTCATCGCAAATCGGAAATCGTACATACACATTTTTCGATATGTGCTCCCATTATGGATCTGGGATATTTATGATACCAATTATCGCGGTCTTGACAAACGTGGCGATTGCAAAAGTGTTTGGTAGATATAAAGAATTCATTTTCAATATTTGTCTTTCAAAAAAAAGAAAAAAAAAAAAATAATAAACTTGATCAATTCTAGCAAGCGGTGGCTCGTTAAATGCAAAGCAAGAAATGTTAACGCTCGGCATTTGCAATATACTTGGAAGTTTCTTCTCGTCGATGCCAACTTGCGGAGCATTGACAAGAAGCGCAGTAAGTGCTGCGAGCGGTATACAGACGCCTATGGCGGGATTGTATACAGGTATAAGACCATCGTATTGTCTTTTCGATAATTACTTTTTCAACTTTTCATACGACATTTTATTTGATCTCTCTCATAACTGTACTCTTTCTTTTAGGAACCTTAACATTGTTAGCTCTTAGCTTTCTAACGCCTTACTTTTACTACATACCACGTGCGACACTCGCGGCAGTATTAGTAAGCGCCGTTTTCTTTATGGTCGATTTACGAATATTCAAAGTGCTTTGGAAAGGGTCCAGTAAGCAATTTTTAATCTTTGTAGTTTCGAGTGCTTCATCTATTATTAACTTTATCGAGCTTGCCCAATATACATATATACATACTTTTTTTTTTTTTTTTTTTTTGAAATCTTGCAGGGAAAGATGCAATAGCAGCTATAGTGACGTTTATAGTTTGTATACTTTGTAACATTGAAGTAGGACTTCTCCTTGGTGCAGCGCTTAATATAATTTTTTTACTTCATCCATCGGCTAGACCAAATCTAAGCACCATTGAGTGCAAGGTAAAAATAAATGTAGATTTCAGTATATAAAAGATTGAAATTATCTGTACATAATATATCTGTGTGTACGTACGTACGTTCATCATTCATGCATATACATATGTGTGTATATATATATATATATATATATATATATATATATATATATATATATATATATATGTATATCTATCTATCGCAGACAGACTTGGGAAATGAATACCTGATGCTTAAACCTGACACAGGATTTTATTATCCTGCAGTAGATTTTCTTTCTAACAAATTAGAGACAATAGCTACCAAGTATGAGGAAAAAAAAATGCCATTGCTCGTAGACTGTGGGAGATTTCAAGGTTTTGATTATACCGCTATAAAGGTATTTAAATGTCTGTCATTACTAAATTTATATTCTCTTGTAGTAATCCTAGCTTTTTTTTATAGAGTATGGAAAGATTATCAAAACAATTAAATAGTAAAACGCAAAGATTATGGTTATTAAATGTTAAGCCAGAAGTTATAGAAACTATTTCAATATTAGCAGATAAGAAATATTTTCTTTTTATCAATGACCATGATAAAATTAAGCCCTTTGTAGATGAAATAAAAAAAAATACTGGTACGTACGGAAACCAATTTCTTTCTAACTCATTGGCTTCAATAATATTTCTTATTCTTTTATATAAAGATGAAGAAAATCTTGTGAACGAGGAGAACGGATTAATGAAGAATGCTGAAAAAGAACATTTAGAAATGGAAGTCTATGAAGAATCTAATGGAATATTTAAAAAGAGAAATGATGATATTAAAGAATCAGACAAAATGTCATTGCATCGATCAAACGCTTAATAGGAATAACTCTAGCAACTCTATTGTGTACAGTTGAATTATCATAATCAATAAATAAATTATTGATCGATTATACACGAGATCATAGGATATGGTTATATCTGGACAAGAAATGTTTACATAAATTAATCAATGATACCAAATTTCCATTGATACTTATATTATATTAATCAATTCAATATAAAAGTTATTGTAATTTATCGATGGGAAAGATGGTCACGACGATATTAGGAAAAAAAAGGAGGAAGAAAAAGAAGGCTAAAGGTGTATAAAGAACACGGAGTATACAAATACGAGAAATAATGTAGTATTAAGTTTTTGGAAGATTAAATGTGCCCATTAAATAATCGTTGGATTTATTAAAGAAAAAAAAGAATGTAGAGAGAGAGAGAGAGAGAGAGAGAGAGAGAGAGAGAGAGAGAGAGAGAGAGAGAGAGAGAGGGAGAAATTGAACGTGTTTTTATTTTCCCAATATGTAACATGTCACTTTTCTACTATTCCTGTTTTTCTTTTGAATTTGAAGATTGCCTTTCCCTTCGTATTATAGATGGCGCGCCATGCGCTACAGATTTTAAGCACATTATTCGTTCCTAACCATAATTCTTCTAAAAAGATCCATTAAAGATAGTTGACATGTTAATGTAATAATGAAAATATATTAATTATTAAAGATGACCGGACATATCGAATCAGAAAAGAAGCGTTTACTATCATTAAAAAGAAAAAAGGAAGCGTTTAAAGTTAAAGAACAGCTTATTCATGATGCATTAAAAAATTTGGTTAGTAATAACGTTGTAGCTTTTTTTTTTTATAACCTCAAGCGCAATATCCATATATTTAATAATCATATATTACGAGTTTTTAACCGATTTACTTTAATAGGATAAAAGAAAAGCAGATAATAAGATCGTGTTCGATGATGGGATTGCCAGTGAAAAAGAGAAGGGAAAACGTAAGATCTTGTTTGATAATGAAGATGAGGATGATGAAGAGGTTACTTGGAACGATGATAAATTCAAAACGAAGAAAAATATAGACGAGAAGGTATGTGGCCTTTGTACTATGCGAAGGTAAATTTGATTTATATATATATATCTTTCAGTATATTAAATTACAAGGAAGAATTGGTAATGACTCTCGGTTTACTTTGGACAATCGTTTTATCGAAGAAAATGTAAGGGATAAAGGGGATATAGAAGAAATCGGCAAATGTGATTCAGAAAATGAAAGAGAATGGCAATTTAATATACTAGAAGACGTTTTGGGTGGACCAATTGCGACAAAGCTTAAAAATGAAGAAACAGTCAAGTAGAAATAAAATTGTTAGAAGATATATAAACTGGAATCATAAATAATAATAATTTTATAATGACTTTGTAGAAAATTTGCAATGATACGATATGACCCAACGGAGGAGAAACACAAACAATACGAACTTACAACGGAAGAAATGAAGTCTAATGCAAAGATTAAAAGGAAAAAGAAAAAAATAGAAATTGAAGTAGAAACTAAGAAAGATGAAATGGTTGTAGTATCAAAGGATATATATTATTCGGTCTCGGATTCATTGACCAAGAGTCTACAAGATCGTCAACAAGGAGAATTTAGTTTATTGAAGACATATGGAAAGGACGTGGATGAGACTGGTATATTTTGCAGATCATTCTGTTGACTCGTTATGTTTGAACAAAAATTAATTTTCTATTTCTTTTCTTTTTCTCCCAGATAAAAGGGCCGTAGGAAAAATTAACGAAGAAATGGCCGAAAAGCAAAAATCGTTTTTGAATTTCGACTTGGCAAATCCGTTTAAATACGATTCGTCGGATGACGAAAATGGTATTAATTTAGATGTTCAACGTTTAATAGATCAGAAAGAAGAGAAAGAGTCAAATCGTTTATTTGTAAAAGATAACGATAATTTGTTCTTTTCAACGAATGATAGACGCTTCGAAGGTACAATTCGAAGGGAAAACTTTTGCATTATACTTTTTAACTTTTTAACTGATCGATTATATCAATATATATATGTATATATATATATATATATATATGTCTTTCAGATGCTTTAAATTTCTTTAAAAAGGAATTAGTGGCAAATAACGAATTTACAAATTTGAGACGTGAATTAAAACAAATCGTACGTGCAAAAGTTCGTAAGAATGTTAGAAAGACGGAAAAATGGGGAAGTAGAAAAAAAATAAGAAAACCGTCGTAAAAGAGAGAGGAGCTGTATAATATTTATCGGTAATATTTACCTGATAAGTTATTTAAAGTAAGATACCATATAATTATACAGTTGCAAACACTTTTTATATTTACTTTGTGTTACGTTATTATCATCATCCATTTTTATTAAACCAGATCTAGTATAAAAAAATATTTTTCAATCAATTTATATATAATCATGTTACATATATTATTGAACTTTCAAAGGAATGTACCAACGGTTTAAAGAAGGAAAGACATTGATATCAGCAAACATGGATATCTAATTTAAATTTATTAGTTTTTGGTATAAATGATTACAAGAAATATATTTAGTTTACTCTATGATATATTTTTTTCAATAAATTAAAAAAGAAATCGTGCGGTAAGCCGCGTGATACTTGTTGTATGTGCGTATTAAGGAGATTATATGTTTCCTCTTCATATATGGAATAGGTGTTTGATAAACCTATATCATTGTATAGACTTTTTACTCGTTCAATTTTTTCCGGATCCTTTGAGCCATAACATTCCTAGGAAACGTTTTTTAATGTTGGCAAAACATAAAAATAAGTATTTATCTGAATGGTATTGTTAAATAATCGATTATATCAAACTTTACCTCTAATATTTTTCTTTGTTCAGGGGTAGCACGTTGCAAAGCAACAACTATTAACCATGAGCATTTTCCCTCCTGTATATCCGTAGAATCTTTACCAGTAACTGTTGAATTGCCATAACAATCTAAATAATCATCTTGAACTTGATAAAGGTGGCCCATTTCTAATAAAATTGTTTTTACTTGTCTGTGCATTTCTGGATCTTTTATATTTGCCTGGTATGTTTGTAAAAATATATTTTATCAAAACAATCGTGGAAAATTATCATAATTAGGAAGCATATGTAATTTCTATATAACTCTAAGTTTACTTACTAAATACATAGCAATCTGAACTGGCAGTAGAAATCCATAATAGGCAGTTTTGTACTTTACGATAGAATTATATCGATCCATCGTAAACTGATTTAAATTTATCTTCTTACCAAAATTATTTGACAACAAATCTAAACATTGTCCTAATATCGTTTTCGAAGTGATCTGCTTATAATGAAATTAATGAGATTGAATTAACGTGACAAGTAAAGAGATATGAGTACGTACCTTGTGAAACAAATCTACTATATCGATATAACATTCTTTTTCTTTCAAGTGAATATAAAGTATTTGATAAGCGGCTTGTTCTATCATTAATGCATCGTTAATGGCTCCTAAACCAATGTCATTATGAAGATACCAACAAGTTTGATTTCTTCGTACATGAGATTTATCTTGGATATCGTCTATTATCAATAGGAATGCTTGAAGCTGCACATACATACATATGTTATTAATGTTAAAATATTAAATGTGTATCATACATACGTATAACGAGTATGTATTCACAATGGGTAAAAAAAAATGCACAGACCAGCTCTACACACCAGCCTAATATACGCGCCAAGCGAATATTTTCCTTTGTCAATTGATCCGAAGGTACGAGCATTTGATAAGCATAAACCAATATTAATGCTCGTCTTTTCCTTCCGTTAGGAACATTATACTGCAATACCTGGGCAAAAAACTTCCGCTCACGTATTTAAATTTAATTTTGGTAAAACGACACTCGTTATTATAAGAAGCTTAAATATTACCTTGGCCATCCACTTGGAGACTTCAGGTATATCCAAGTAATAATTTATATTCGTAATATCTCGAACGATATCGGGCCATAAAGCCATAATTTCGCGACTTTCGTCTTTGCTTGTCATCCAGGTTTTTTGTGTCGTGATATGTGCCGCCATTCCTATCTTTGCGTTTGTTGTTCTAAAAGTAATATATATATATATATATATATATATATATATATATATAAACACAGAGAGAGAAAGAGAGAGATACGTATGTATGTAAGTCTGATATATGATAATGATGTAAGGAATAGCTGTTTTTAACGTAAAGGGAATTCGACGATAAAAGCTTCTCTATACCTCAAATACGAACATGGAGAGCCTCAGTTGGGCCTCTTGAATTTATATCGATATGTAAATTTGTACATTATAATGACAATCATAGGTCATAGAAGAAATCATATTTAAAATTGAAAACAGACAAATTTGCATTAAACAAGTCGCTTGTTTTCTTATCTTCTCTTGTCACGTTTTCTTCATCTTTCTTTTCTTCTTTTTCTTTTTTTTTACAACAATGTCGAAAATATGAATATGGTAACGTTATGACTTATAGAACGTTTCACGCTTCATATTTTCGATTCTAAGATAAATTACAAAACCATGTGATTTTTAATCGAATATATGAAGTTTATTTTGATAGGACGTATATTAAGAAATTATGTCTTTGTTCGAGGAAAGTGCACTAACGAACGACATTACCGAAGAAAATATCAAAGAGACAAGTTTCGATCACGAGGTACGATTACATTTATTAACGACAACCAAACTCGAAATTTATTCTAAAATTACAGGTATTGCGAAATGATTGAAATTCGTTAAAATGTGTTAATAGAAAATTGAATTAAACGAAAATATAAGCGATTCTTGGACGGTAATCGTAAAGGCGATAACGCATCGTGGAACGCAAACATTAATACAATGCGATCCTAATTTGACGAAGGAAGAATTTATCGGCATAATTGTTAAAACGAAATTGTAAAATAATAAGTACAAAACAGATTTCCTCGTATTTATATTTTTTTTCTATTGAGTATTATTGAATATACGCCATCGAGCAAATTTTGACGCATTACGAAAAGAGTCAAGGACGAATATATATCCTGAGATATATAGGTGAGCTGATATTTTTCTTTAAATCGATAACAATAATCACTTTTCTTTGTTTATTTTTCCTCTTTTTATTCTGGTATCTTGTTTTTCTATCGGAATACTAGAAGACGTAATAATTTATTTTATTATTATCGCCGAATATATTACGATTAGTGTCCATGCTATATATGACATTTCCTCGATGTATAATATCGACGTATTAAAAAATTGTAGGAGTAAGACGACCAAATCGCGACAGGGGGGGGGGGGAGGGGGGAGGTGAGGCAAGTAAAAGAACGGAAGTAGATGTAGACTGGCTCGGACGAGGGAGACAACTCTGGTTTTTTTCGAACGAAATTGAGAAATTGGCGGATTAAGAAAGGAAGAAAAAGAATATATAAGTGCGCAATCGCACGACGTCCATAGAAGCGCAAAGACGGAGACTTACCTAAATAATTGAATCTTGTCGAGAGACACAAATTTGGTGTGTTTGCGATAAAATTCATTGCCGCAGAAAGTAATTACTCTCCTTCCAGTGACAGAGAAAGACATGTTTCTTTCGTTCAAACGATACAAGATATGCACGTATATAGACGAAACGTATATAATACTATCTCCTTTTTCTTCCTTTTAACCTCTCTTAGGTAGAGCGTAGCACGTGCTTCGATCGAGCGTACGAGACTTAATAAGCAAAATTGAAAATCGATCACGTTCGTCGTTTATCGTTAATCCATCGTTGGCCTTATTTAATATATGACTACGGAAATGGAGAAAAAGAATTATTACTTTTGATCGATGTGACGTAACACGAAGAAAATGAAAAGTCTCCTTGAAACTCAAAAACGCGTCGTTATTAGATTATCCTTTTTAAGAACGTGTGCAGTTCTATGTGCACTCACTTTTATATGGGAGCGCCCGATAGATCCTTCCTTTTATGTTTATTCATAAAGGAAACGACGAAGTTTGGTAAGATTGTTATCATGTGAACGATAAGCGAGCATATCTGTTACGCATGCCAGGTGTTTTTCATGAGCTTGCAATGGTGCTTTTTTTTTCTTTTTTTTTTCTTTCTTTTTCTTTTTTTAATGTTTACCTCTGCAAATTTTAAAAAGTTCTTTTTTATCTCTTATTTACAATCGAGAATATATTTAAATGAATTTCAAAGCATAATTAATATAAACGTTTTTATGTAAATATTTAACGATTTCATAAAAAAAAAAAAATGCCATAAATTACTTTTTGCTCATTTTCTGAGCTCGTTTGCTAATTGTATTTATACTTTTTTTATTAAATACTTTTTTCATTATATAACACTAATTTCTAATGGAAACTATAAGCTTATTTCCTTCGATTCCCTCGGCCATCGATAATAACTTGTTTCTTTTATAGATTTTAAATGGTTATTCATTGCTTGAAGGGTCTTTTGTTAGAAGGAGCTGGTAACCTGTATTTTTCTAATTCCACTTCTGCTTCTGCGAATGAATCTAAGTGATAACAAAAGTACTCTGGATTTTTATACTCTTTATCTTTGGATGCACCTGGTCCCACCGCTAAAACAAGAGAGGAGACCTTCAAGAGAGGAGCCCTTCAAGAGAGGAGGGGCTCTTTTATAAATTACGAATATTAAAAATGTTTCATCTCTTACGTTTTGTAGGAAGTTTGTAACATTTGTCGCTAAGTCCTGGTACATTTGCATTTACACTTTGTTGCTTTTGATTAGATAAAGAACGATGTACATTGAATGTTCCAAGGTAGACGAATGAGACATTCTGAAATAAATCATCATGACAAATGTTTGCTAAGGAAGAAGCGTTGTGTTACAATTATTAAATGAACCTTCCCTTTTTATTCCAACATGATATAATATTAATATCTAGGCAATGAGACAAGCTTGATGAATATTTTCAATATTGATGAATATTTTCTTTAAATACACGCGCATAGTATTCATATATGTATTTAAATTTTATTTACGTTAAAAAAATAAAGCAGGTAAAAAAATGACAATACGATGATTTGAAATTCATTGTAAAAGATATTATGTCACCTCGTTTTAATAAGATTTAATCGAATTATAAGAAATGAAAAATCTACGCATGTAGATAATCACCTTTGGTAAAGTCTTCTTAACGATTAGATGCAACATTTTGTCTCTTCTAAGAAATCGAGATAAATATAGATTCGTATAAATGATTGAATGCTTTCATAACAGGTCCAAAATCGTTGTCTTCTCCTTCGGCCTAGGTAAACTCATTTTTATTTGACATGCGTAAATCGGACAGCTATTTTATTCGTACATTGCTCCTCATTGGTGCATACTTTTCTAAAGGAAGTATTCGATTGGTCGATGTTATGTAATGCCCTTTCGTATGGTGGATCCTCCAGTTTCGTTATCATTAGTGAGAAGATTTGTTGGAATTGTTGGATACAAGTTTCTTCTTAGTCTTTTAATTATATAATTGATCTAAAACAAGAGTAATTGTATCATTCTAAAGTAGGTATTCGATGTTTGTTCATTTCTCATGTGATTAAATTTCTCGGTTATTATTCGATGATTCTTTGGTTATGTAGACTACGAATGAGAATAAAATGGTTGAGTAGTGTTAGACAAATTTGTTCTCTGATATAAAATATTTATATATCCGACCTTTCTTTTTATGCTTTTTAATGTTCTTTGCTTTAACTTTTTAACATTTTATTGTACACATATATATATATGTACGTGTGTTATGTATGCATATATGTATGTTCTTAGCAGTGCCACGATGTTCAGCAGTCTGAAAAAATATAAATACGATTATAAAAACGAAGGAAAGGAGCCCCTTCAGAAACTGATAGGACTAGGAAAATATATATTTATGGGTGCTATGTTTACATCCGCATACGATCTGTCCATGATACGAGAACCACCAAGCTTACGAACGGTCCTTGTTCTGGGTGGAAAACACATTATCACTTGGTTGGGTGCATCTGCAACGTTTACAACCGCAGTACTGTGTTTAACAAATACCAGAAAAAAGGATGATCAATTGAATTATTTTTTTGGCGGTAGGTAGTATATGATAAAAACACACAAAAAATCAGAATATCCATATTAATCGTCTTGGTATAATTTCTTGTAGCATTAGCTAGCGGAGCTTTTACTTATTCTTTCGTTCAGAGAGGCAGTTTCGTGTTGTTTATGACTACGTATGTAGCCATTGGAGCAGCAATATTGAAATTTAAGGTTATGAAGGGTTATAAAATATTAGAATACGACATAAAATATAAATCTGCATCGTTGTACATTAATCGTGATAATACACCCGATGTAAGGTACGAGAAACCATAATTATTTATTCGTACAACGAAAAGTTATTGTGTTACAATAATTGAAAAAAATGCGTTTGACTGGCCCATAAGATCAGTGTTTTAAGTAATATTTATGGGGATATATATATATATATATACATATATATATATATATATATATATATATATATATATATATGTATATATATATATTATTTGAAGTAGTAAAATTCTGTAAATTCTCCACGCGTATCCTTGTGCATAAATGTACACCGTAGGCGTGTGATCCATAATAAAAGATAACGACAATGAATTATTAGCGCAGTTTATGTTAATGTTTCTCCCTTTGTTACCTGTTCAAAGGAATAATGGATTAGATAAATTTTATGAACCGTGTGTATAGAATACAGGGGCGCAGGGTATGGTAAATGAACGTCGACTTACGCAAGCTTCAAGATATTCGATTCTACGCTCGAGCGTCGTAAGTTTCTCATTTAGGACAGCTATTCGTGATCTACAGGACATATCTGAAAGAAAAGGAAAATTAGGCATTGTATTTGATTGATACTTGCTCTCATAAATAATCTCTACCATGACCGTTTCTATAAACGATATTGTAAATTTCAAAAATTCTTTGATTAAATTTTTCAACCTACCAAAAGAATTGAGAAAATCCGTAATTTTTTTTATATTGCCGGTGATGACTTCTATATATTCTCGATTTGCCCAATCCTGTTGTATTTGTTTCTGGATTGCTTCTCGATGTATCGCTGCCATTGCGTTACGTTTTAGGTTATTGGAAACTTTTATCTACGATTGGAGAAAAACACTATATATAAGAGATAATGTTATAGAAGATATAAACTATGGATGTATATTTGATATCACTTTTTAAGGTAACCGATGTTTTTATTTCGATGATCAGAAAGATATTTTACATTGCGGCGTGAGAATTGCGAATATAAATCAATGTAGGTAAACAAAATGCGGAGACCTCCCGTTGCGCCATCTAAGGATACCGATGCAACTACTTTATTTCATTCTCGATTAACTTGATCGTTTTTCCTTATCGGATGTGTCATCGATAGGTGTTATTTCAATAAATTTCTACTTTTATCTTTTTCTCCATCAACTTAGTCATATAAAGAAAACATGAAACGAAACAATTTCGTTGTAATTTGTTCGTGTAACACGCTCCTTCAAATTATCGCCGTCAAAGTATTCGGACGTCTTGTTTTAGATCACATAACGGCGTAACACGAAGCAAGAGGCAAGTATCAGCAATTGCGTACAAAAGCGAAAATCATCTAGGTTCTTTTTTTTTCTTTACATTGTACTTGATTTTTTTTCATATGTCAAATATCATTACAAGTATCTTTTGTAGCGTCTGTATTATTAACCAGTGACCAGTGACCAGAGAGCATAGTGCTGTATAATATCGAGGGAAGAGAGATATATCAAGAGTTGCGTCGGTAGACATCATTTCGATGTCGATAGAGGTTAGAAAATTCTATTACGTATGTAAGGATGCATTTCATATCTTATATTAGTGCGCATAACATAAAGCGACTTATAGGTACGGTTTTGCGTAGAAACGAAACTAATATCGTATTATTTAAAAATAGAACGTTCCTATTTTTTGCGACTCGTAAGATCATACAGGTATACGTAATAATCGTATGTATCGTATGAATGTACTACCGGAAGGCGTAGACGCCATTTCCGCGAATACCGCGCGTAAAATGATTAAATCGAATGATCTTACGTTGACACGCAGTTGTTAAATTAAACGATCTTGGTAGATAAATCTTCCATGCTGCGCCTGTTATGCGTCTTTTGGGAAGAAGCAGCCTGTTATCAGCTATACGATATTCATTCGAATTGTCTAAGAGGCAGTACGGTCGTAAAAGTAATAGTCGTTGGATAAAAGTTCGACATCCTTCGGTAATTACTGGATCGCCGTTGTGCAGGTAATTTATTACAAGCGCATACGTGCGACGTGTTAAGATATATATATAACCGTTAATTAAAATAACTATTTTTCGAACGTTTGTATATTGACGTGCTACATATATTGGACGTGACATATCGCTGAATAGCTCAATGAAAATTTGTAAGGATTTATTTTTTAGATCGAGTTCTAATTTACAAATATACTTATCGTTATCCGTGAGAATGGCATCCTCGTCGAAAGACGATGCGAAAAATGTCGACGAAACGTTAATCAAGAAGGGAGAAAATCGACTGGCTCTGGAGAAGTCACCTTATCTGTTGCAACACGCTAGAAATCCCGTACAGTGGTTTCCTTGGGGAGACGAAGCTCTCGAGAAAGCGAAAGCGGAGGACAAGGTGATTTTCTTGTCCGTCGGATACTCGACGTGTCACTGGTGTCACGTTATGGAGAAGGAGTCCTTTGAGAATCCACAAATCGCCGAGATCATGAATAAGAATTTTGTTAATATAAAAGTGGACAGGGAAGAGCGACCGGATATCGATAGAATATACATGGCGTTCGTACAGGTATCTGTCGCGAGAACAGGTGTCGTGGCGACGATTCTTCAAATAAAGCGATAATATCTTCTAGGCTATTTCCGGGCACGGTGGTTGGCCGATGAGCGTATTTCTCGCACCGAATCTCTCACCGATCATAGGTGGAACGTATTTTCCGCCAGAAGACAGACACGGTTATACCGGATTTAAGAACGTTCTACTTGGTATCTCTAAAGAGGTAGACCTATTTGATATGATTTGAAAATTTGGCGCACGGTAAAGTTCTCTCATTCGGATTATTATTAATTACAGTGGCGAGAGAATAAGCGTGAGCTAATGCTACTCGGTGGGACTATTATACAGAGATTGAAGAACGCAGGCGAGAACAAAGGCCGGCTGATCGTAAGCGAAAGAAAGACAAGAGGGAGGGTATAGAGTGGGTAGTCGGGTAAAATATCTGGTTTGGCATCGACTCATTCGTCGTATTTTTTTGTTTTTTTCAACTAGGAACGATACGTACCTTCGGAGGAATGTGCCATGATATGCCTTCACCAATTGAAGAACTCCTACGAGCCTAACTTTGGTGGATTTTCGGACGCGCCAAAGTTCCCTCAGCCGGTCAATTTCAATCTTCTTTTTTATATGTACGCACGTGACCCATCCACCGACATTGCTCGCGAATGCTTGGAGATGTGCGTGCATACTCTGAAAAAAATGGCACTTGGGGGAATACACGATCATATCGGTCAAGTGAGTTTACGTTAACGGTTACGTTAATGTTTACGCTTTTCATCCTTTATTCTTTTCATTAGGTATTAACATAAACCTAATGTTCTAAGGGCTTTTCAAGATACTCCGTCGACGAGGAATGGCACGTGCCTCATTTTGAAAAAATGCTCTACGATCAGGGCCAGCTATTGCAATCGTATACCGATGCATTTTTGACCACCAAGGATCCGTTATTCGCCGAAATGATCGACGATATAGCTACTTACGTATCTCGAGATTTGAGGCACAAGGTATTATTAGTTATAGAATCTCTCTTTCGAGTCACAATTTCTTCCCGGTCTTGATAATATTTTATTTAAATTCGGGATCGCAGGAGGGGGGCTTTTACAGCGCCGAAGATGCCGATTCTTATCCTACGAAAGGATCGGGGGAAAAGAAGGAAGGCGCCTTTTACGTTTGGACGTACGATGAGATCAATGTGCTCTTGGATAAAGAAGTGGCCGATAAGAAAGGCTTGAAACTGAGCGACGTCTTCTGCTTTCATTTCACGGTCAAGCCGAAGGGAAATGTACCGGCGCGTCGAGTACGTAGGATAAACTGCGCCCCAAAGTGACTTTTTATAAGAGCATTAAAGTTATTTCATAAAAATTCGCTCTTTTAGGATCCCCATGGGGAACTGAGCAAACAAAACGTATTGATCGTTTATGGTAGCGTAGAAGATACGGCAAGGCACTTTGGTCTAACGGTCGAGAAAACGCAGATTCTTCTGAAAGAGGCATCGCGAATACTTTTCGAAGCTAGAGAGAAGAGACCGCGGCCCCATTTAGACGATAAGATTTTAACGGCCTGGAACGGTGAGATAGGCGAGATATTTTATATTTCGAATGATGATCGTTATTAATCAATCGATAATAACGATCTCGATCTTAATACCTTAATATTCGCATTTTTGATTTCTAACGCAGGCCTAATGATAAGCGGCTTGGCACGAGCCGGTTCTGCTACCGATAACAAGCGATACGTCGATTTGGCAACGGACGCTGCCAAGTTTATCGAACGTTATCTTTACGATAAATCCGAACGTTTGTTACTTCGTAGTTGTTATCGTAGCGATAACGACGCCATCGTATTAACGTAAGTATATAACGTAAGATTGCCGATCGCTATTAACCCTTTAACGTATCCTGCCCACCTGCGTTGTCAGCTCGCGAATCCTTAAGTATCACCCTTAAGAATAGATGGGAATAATATCGATCGTAGGAGCGTGCCTATAAAAGGCTATCACGCGGACTATGCCTTTGTGGTGAAGGGATTGTTAGATCTTTACGAGGCCAATCTAGATCCCCATTGGTTGGAGTTCGCCGAGATACTTCAGGATATTCAGGACGAGCTCTTTTGGGACGCGACGAGCGGCGGCTATTTCTCAACTATCAAGGACGATCCTACGATAATTCTTCGACTCAGGGACGGTACGTTTAAATCTATTTTTCTACGTAATTTTAGCTAACGTTGAGATTAAAGCCTCGTGGTCGCGCGAACGCTTAGTGCTTTTGATTCGAGAAACCTCTCGTTTCTCCAAAGAGAAGCCATGCTACGCGCTAGCAAAGACTATCCACGTCAAAATATTTATAGCGGCGCGTCTGCTCAATGTTTCGAGAGTCGGGCTGTATGAGTCCGTCGTGTATGAGGAGGCATCGTCAAATACCCGAGATATAAAATATCCTTGTGCTTGTTATCGTGACTTTTATGATCTCGGGCTTGCAGATCACGATGGAGCGGAACCGTGCAGCAATTCGATTGCCTGTGGAAATCTATTGAGATTAACGACTTACTTGGAACGTGTCGAATTCAAGGACAAAGCGGAACGTCTTCTTTCATCGTTCAAGGAACCTTTGTCAAAGGTACCGAGTTCCGTAGCGGAGATGGTGAGAGCGTTGTTGCACTATCATGATAGTTCCACGGAGGTACGTATGTATTACTTTTTCTTTTCTTCTCCTCCTTTTCTTCTCCTACGACGTAGAAAACGGGGGAGATGACAGGATCGACAGGATAACGACGAAAGTTTGTCTTTTTTTTTTCTCTGTTTTTTCTTTTTTTTTTCTTTTTTTTTTCTTTTTTTTTTTTTTTTTTTTTTCTTTTTATCTTTTCAGATCTATGTAATAGGAAATTCGGGGGCG